CCTCTCCGGGGGGAGGGCAAGCCAGATTCACCCCTAACAACCATCACGCCCCAGACTTCAGCTGCAGCCAGTGGGAAGAAGTAGATCCTCCTCCACTTGCTGGTAAATTGGCAGGATATGAGTCTGGCACTGCCAATGGTCATTGCTGCACCTGGGTCCTGCCCTGCCTAGCCTCCCAGTTACAGAAACAATGATCATCCTTTTTGCTTAAGCCAATCTGAGCTGAATTTCTATATCTTGCAAACTCAAGAATAATAATGTATTCTCACTTAAAAAAAAGTTGTGCACTTCTGGTCAAGATGGAGGCATAGGTAGATGCACTTAGCCTCCTCTCACAACCATAAGAAGGATCACAACTAACCTCAAAACAAAAAATACTTAGAACAGCCAGAAAATATGGAACCGTATGCAAGTCCAACAACCAACAATTTACAGAAGCCATATTCATCTAAATGGGTAGGAGAGGCGGAGATGGGAAGCCAGGGCAGAGAGGATGCAGTGGTGTGGCAATGGCGAATGGTGGTGGTGAGGTAGCGGTGGCGGCGACTGGTGGGAAGGGTGGAATCTCCCATTCACGTGTGGTGGATAAAAACTGGGAGGAACGCCTGGGAGGAAGCCATCCCAGCCCCAGGCCAGACTGCACAGCCTGTGGTTCCAGTGCTGGGAAAATTAAGCCTCATAACTTCTAGCTGTAAAAACAAATGGGGTTTGGGATAGGGAAGAAATTGCTAGTCTCTTAGTAGAGCCCATTTAAAGGGCCCACATGGTCCTAGAGTGTATGCAAACCCACTACCAGGGCAACAGCCAGAGGGGTGCCAGTCACAAATGGGAAGTGGGTGAAGTAACTGCAAACAGGGTGAGTGCCAAGCAAGCTTCCAGAAGCCTGGCCACAGCATAGTCCCCTCTCCGAACCTTCCCCTATGGCCAGAGCCACAAAGTGGTGAAGGGCATTGCCATACTCTGGCGGTTACCTAAGGCCCCATACAACATAGCAGGTGTGCCAAGACAGGGAGTCAAAGCAGCTCTACCTAATACAGAGAAACAAACACAGGGAGGCCGCCAAATTGAGGAGACAGAGAAGTATGGCTCAAAAGAAAGAACACAACAAAATCTCAAAAAAAAGACCTAATGAAATGAAGAAAACCAACCTATCAGATGCAGAGTTCAAAACATGGTAATCAGGATGCTCAGAGAACTCACTGAGTGTGGCAGAAGTATAAGGGAAGAAATGAAGGCTACACTAAGTGAAGTAAAGGAAAGACCACAGGGAACCAACAGTGAGGGGAAGGAAACCAGGACTCGATCAATAATTGGAACTAAAGGAAGAAATAAACATTCAACGGGAACAGAATGAAGAAACAAGAATTCGAAAAAATGAGGAGAGGCTTAAGAACCTCTGGGAGAACTTTAAATGTTCCAATATCCAAATAATAGGGGTGCCAGGAGAAGAGGAAGAGTAAGAAGTTGAAAACTTATTTGAAAAAATAATGAAAGAAAACTTCCCTAATTTGATGAAGAAAACAGACATACATATCCAGGAAGCACAGAGAGTTCCAAATAAGTTGGACTCAAAGAGACCCACACCAAGACACATCATAATTAAAATGCCAAAGGTTAAAGATAAAGAGAGAATCTTAAAAGCAGCAAGAGAAAAGGAAAGAGTCATCTACAAAGGAGTTCCCATAAAACTGTCAGCTGATTTCTCAAAAGAAACTCTGCAGGCAAGAAGGGACTAGCTAGAAGTATTCAAAGTATTGAAAAGCAAGGACCTACAACACAATTACTCTACCAGCAAAGCTTTCATTTAGAATTGAAGGGCAGATAAAGTGTTTCCCAGACAAGGTGAAGCTAAAGGAGTTTATCATCACCAAGCCCTTATTATATGAAATGTTAAAGGAACTTATCTAAGAAAAAGAAGATAAAAACTATGAACATTAAAATGACAACAAACTCAACTATCAACAATTGAATCTAAAAGATGAAAACAAAAACAAACTAAGCAAATAACTAGAACAAGAACAGAGCCACCGAAATAGAGACCACACAGAGGGTTATCAACAGGGAGGGGGAGGTAGGAGAATGGGGGGAAAGATACAGGGAATAAGAAGCATAAATGGTAGGTACAAAATAGACAGAGTGATGTTAAGAACAGTAAAGAAAATGGAGAAGCCAAAGAACTTAGATGTACGACCCATGGACATGAACTAAGGCAGGGAATGCTGGAGGGAAGGGGGTACTGAGTAGAGGACTGCAAAGGAGGAAAAATTGGGACAACTGTAAGAGCATAATCAATAAAATATACTTTTAAAAAAAGTTGTTACATGAACTATATTTTCTATACTCATAATTTCCACAAGGAAAGGCCGAAAGCTTGGGAAGACCATCCAAGGCCCCCAGTAAACACAGATGTCAAGACAGGACTGTGAGTCCGCAAGTCAGGTTTCACGTCTTCCAGGCACCTCCCACATCTACACTGTCCTCTGGCTTGAAACTGAATTAGGAAATGTGCCTGACACCCTTCCAAGTCTCAGGAATTAACAGCCGTGCAGTTCTACTGAAACACTGATACAGTCTAGGGAGAGAACACCCACTAGCCACACCTTCAAATATGAAACTAAGTAATCAAATATATGGTTCACAAAGCCCCAGAGTACAACTCCTGCTGCCCAGTTAGCTATCTGTTTTCCAGATAGGCATGTGACAGTTTTATTTATTGTTGATGAACTGGATGGGAAGACTAGTACGCATTTAAAAAAATCAGGTACCAAAATGCTGAGAGGCTTGTTGACAGCCATGCTCAACTGAGCTCTGAAGTCAGCACCAAATGAATGAACCTTTGGGGAAATTCCTGGATCCTGTGTGGTACAAGCTGGCGGAGTGACTGCCTGGAACATGGGTTTTGGGAAACTGGTGGACGTTCTCTCCTTGCCCTCTGCACAGGGCAAATGGGCCTAGGGTGCAAGAGTCCTTATCCTGATCCCAACGCGGAGCTGGAATGGCAGCCTTGCGCAGCCACTGAAGCCCCTGTGTGTGAGGACTGGGCCACCAGGCTGACTCATTTGGTTGTGCACAGAGGCCAAGACTGCCCTGTCCACACCAGTCAGTCACAGCCCAGGCCTGGTCGGGAAGCAGCCCTTAAAAGGTCTGGAATGAAGGAGGGTAGCATCTTTCCAAAACAAAACTCATAAAAACACAAAGTATAAAATGAGATAAAGTCACCCCTTTGCTCCAATGTGGCCAAAGGACAACTAAATCTAGGGTTTAATCAGACAATTTTGTCCCAAGTTTAAAACAAATATCCAAATGATCTAAATAAGCAAACTAGTATGGTTTCCCTTGTGTTTGCCCCTCTCCCCTCTATCCCCTTCCTCATCAAAGTGATATTTGTTGGTAAAAGTTTTCTGAGCCAGAATGCTTACTGCAGGCTTTGAACAGAAATAAAAGCATACTGGAGATCTAAGCCTTCAAAAGAGGCCCAGGTGGCACCAAAGGGGAGCTCTGGTGACACGTACTGAAATGCAAGCACAACATTCACTGACAACTGCCAAGAAAATCAGAATGGGGCCATTGGGGTGGGGCAGGGATGGGTCTTGGCAGCAAATCCCCCCAAACAAATGATTTCCCAGTCACTGATGTGCTGAGCCACTCCATTTCCCAGCTTCAGATGCCTAGGACTGGGGACTCACATAGCCCAGGCTGATGGCCCAAAGAGAGCTGGCTTCAGAGCAGCCACTGCTATCCCAGGACCCAGGAGGACAGCTTGCAGGAAGTACTCCCCACATGGCCAGCACAACACAACTGGGAGCTGAAGACAGCCCGTGCCTGTGCTGGGAATGTGGTGGGAGCTGACCTTCAGTGACCGGAGCCTCCAGCCTGCTCCCACCCCATCACCTCTTTCACCCTGAGTGCCAAGGGCTCTGGCCAGGAACCCCATCTGTGTGGCTGAGTGCCTGGCTCATGACACAAGGAACTGGACAGTTTAAACTTGCTTAATCCAAGAGCAGACCATTATCTCCAGATTGAGAAGGTTTTAGCATCTACCTAAGAGGTGAAAAATAAAACAGAATCATTCCTAACAAAGTCTAAAAAGAGGCCCTAACTATTCTGCTCATTTAGCACTGAGGCAACAAACACAAGTATACCTCACTGTAAACACACAGGCCTTTAAAAAAATCTTAATGTAAGAATCCAAGGGATTATATTGCATTATTTGATTCCAAAAAACCAATCTTATTAAAAGCAGTAAGCTCATTAAACAGTGCCCCCTTTTCCCCCTGCTGTGCACTGCAAACAGTGACTTCTGTCAAAAATCATAACCCAGTAATCAGGAATAAGGAGAACGGCAATAATGATAAAAATAATGATGATAATATAGTAGTAGTAACAGTAGTAGTAGCAGCAAATGTTTATGATATGGGCTAAGCACCGTTCTGAGCACATTGCATATGTTAACTCATTTAATTCAACAAAGTAAATACTATTTGTTACCTCCGTTTTACAAGTGGGGAAAGTGAAGCCCAGGGTGAGAGGACAGAACCCTGCTGCAGGTCAGCCATCCAGTAAGGGCGGTCCTTGTACAGGATCTGCCTTCGGATGTCTGGGTGGTTTAGAGCAGCAATTTCCAACTTGTGTGCCACAAAGATGAAAACATGCAATACCTGACTATTTAGTCAGGGGCACTGACCTCTTTTCCCTTAGACTGTCAAATACAAAAATGACAATGGCCAACACAATAGCCATCTAGTGTGAATGAATCAAAATTGTACCTATTTTTTATTGTCAGATCAGCAAAAACTGTATTTTCTGGTGTGCCACAGAATTTTAGCAGTTTCTTTGTGTGTGCCATGACATGCACAAGGTTGAAGATTGCTGGTTTAGAGTGAGGCACACCAGTGTCAGGAAGGAAGGGAAGCACCTGCTGACACACAGAGGGGACCAGACACAAATGACAGCCTGGCTGGCGGCGCGAGCAGCAGGGCAGGGTTCACGGGCGCACTCACCTTCACTCTCCCCACTCGTCTTGATGACTTTTGAACCACCCTCTGTACCTTTAGACTTCTCAGCATCTTCTTGGGCATCCTCAGTGGGCCCTTTCTCCTCATCTTCTTCTTCCCCAACGTTTTTGTAGTTGGGTCTCTTTTGCACCCGCCGCTTGCCCTTGTGCTTATTCATCTCAAGGGACCGCTCAAGTGTCTCGGTGGGTTTAATAAAGCACCGAATGCTGGGCTTGGCCTAGGAAAGTAGAACCGACACAACAAACCTTGGTCAAAGATTTTAACCTTTGTATCTCACTGGATCCTATCAAGCTGTCTGAGAGTTTCTGCTTCAAGAAATTCATTTCCAAAACAACAAATGCTACCTTTTAGTTTGTTGTTATGACTATTATTAACATCATCATTATCATATAATCAAAACAATAACACCAGCTACCATTTACTGCCCACTCTCCTAAATCAGAAACTGCACTTCACCAACACCAGCTCCCTTCGGTATTCCTGAAGGTCATCATTTGCATAAAAAACTTCTCTTAACACTTTATGGAATTTTTGTATGTGCCAGATGTATTTTAAGGACTCTGACTATATTATCTCACTTACAATTTTACAACCCCATGAGATAGTACTATTATTATCTTCATTTTGCATATGAGGAAACTGAGGCTCAGAGACATTAAATGACCCATCCGAGGTCACGCAGCCAAGAGGTGGCAAAGCTGGGATTGAAACCAACGTGCCATATGCACAATTTATGTTTTGACTACAGCACAGTGATGTTATCATTAACTTCTTATTTAAATAAATTTATTTTAAAAGAAACTGTGTATCACTAAAGGAAATGAAATACCAGTGTACCTTGTTAATGTAAAAATAAATAACAGAAATCAAAAGCAAGGGGACTGAACGCAGCCAAATGCTGGCTTTCTTTAGAAGGGCCGAGAGTATCAGTTAAAGCTCATACCCAAAGGGCACTTGCCCCAAAGGAAGAAGCTTTTCCTTAAAAAGTAGGAAGGCTTCTAACAAAAATGAAGAAGGCCTGTTATGTTACCAGTGGTTATGTCCCATATTCTGGAAAACATGGCTGTATCTCTGCCCGTATAACAAGCAGGAGATAGAAGGATCACCAGTCCCACTTTAAAAATGAGAAAATAAAGGCTCAGAGGTATTAAGCAACTTGCCCAAAGCCACACAGCTACCGAGCAGCAGAGTCAGAATTTTCATAGAAGCTTGCCCAATCCCAAAGCCCAAGCTGTTCCTAAAATAACAGTGCTTTACCAGGAGCTCAAACTCAGTTCTATATTCAGCACTCTCTAAGAGGTATTTACATGCAAATAGACCAGGACTAGAAAGAAGCAAAGACAAAAGAAAATTCTGCTTTGTTTGGGGCAGGATTCTGACTGAAGAGTTTTTCTCTTGCCGGGATCTGGATGATGTTCAGACATCATTTTGTTCTTTAAAAAGGGAAAAGTTTTCAAGTAAACTTTTCCATTATCTTGATATGGTTTATCCATCTTCTGAATTTACCCCAAACAACCACTGACTGTATTCTGGGGGCTGCAGTACCTTGCCAATAAGTGGAATGTGCTCAAGGAACACAAATTAATTTCAATATCACTCAAACAAAACGTAATTGAAAGCTAAATTAGCATCCAAATACAAACATTAATTTTTATTTACCCACTTAGGATTATTCATCAACAAAAATGACAGGTGTATTGAGACATGATTCTGGTGTTCAGGAAACCCAGATAGCACATTACAGAAGCCAACCACCGAGAGCCCAGAGCATTCCAAGCATGCACTACTTGACAGACAGCATCCATCAGGGCTCACTTGGGATGCTATGTGATTGAACACAGCCCCAGATGCCCCCTATCCTCTCACGAAGGACCGGAACCCAGTTAGTTAGGGCCCCAAATGAAGTGCCAGCTTCCTCTGATCACCACTCACTCCCAGTGAATGTTAGATCATACCGTACACAATCAAAGCTTTCAGAAAGAGAAAACCAAGACCTAACAAGGAGCAAGGCACCACCCAGTTAGAAGTTCTGAGCAGAAATTCACGAGTATGGATGTAGAAACCTCTTTCTGAGCTCTGTGTGGACAAAGATGTATGGACCAACTGATAGAGCTAAGGGAATTAAAACATGCACAAAGTCCAGGGCTGGTCAGAGCTGTGTGAATTGTAGCTGAACTTCACCGTAGCTGTGGGGCCTCTCTGTGCTTCAGGTTCCTAGTCTAAAACATGGGGAAAGTAATTCTGACTTTAAACTAAATAAAATCCTGGATACAAAGTTCCTTCAGAGTCTGGCAATACAGTAAGCATCCAATATATAAATGAGTTACCTTTCTTTCCCTGCCTATGTTTAAAATAAAAAGTCAACTATGAAAATGAATTTTAAAACTTTCCAAAGGGATCTGCTTTTCTCAGTGATCAGGTGTTGAGGAGTGGAAGAAAGGAAGGCATGCTTGCTGGGGAAATTTCAAACCTTTAAAATGCAACCTACCCAGTAAACAGCTGGAAATAACCTAAATGTCCATCAGCAGAGGAGTGGTTAGGTAATTATGGTCTTTTTGTACAGTGATAGACTGATATGAAACAGCGTTGGGATGAAAAAGCAAGAACAGGGAACAAATAGGGTTCCTTTCAGGGAAAGCTTTTTGAAGGCTCCACCTGATGTTCATAGAAACACATTTTTTTTTTCTTGGAAAGCTGCATAAGAATATATTAAGATTGCTTTTTCCTTTTTAAAAAATTGTATTTTACTGACTATGCTATACAGTTGTCCTCATTTTCCCCCTTTGTCCCTCCTCCAGCCAGCATCCCCAACTTTCCAGGCAATTCCCTCACCATTGTTCATGTCCATGGGTCATGCATATAAGTTCTTTCACTACTCTATTTCCTATACTGTATTTTACATCCCCATTGCTATTCTGTAACTACCTATTTGTACTTCTTAACCCCTCACCTCTTTACCCATTCCCCCATACACCCATTTCATCTGGCAACCATCAAAATGCTCTCTGTATTCATTATTCTGTCTCTGTTCTTCTTGTTTGGTTAGTTTGATTTTTAGATTCAATTGTTAATTTGTATTTTTTTCCATTTTATTGTTCATAGTTTTCAACTTTTCCTTTTTTTAATAAACATTTTTTCCTGTTGTTCAAGTGCAGTTTTCTGCTTTTTCCCCCACCCCTGCCCACTACCCCAGTCCTTCCCACCTCCCTCCCATTTCCATCCCCTACCTTGTTATTTATTGTCCATGTGTCCTTTATAATTGTTCCTGCAAACCCTTCACCCTTTCCCCTTATAATCCCCTCCCCTCTCCCCTCTGGTCACTGTCAGCCTGTTCTCAATTTCAGTGTCTTTGGGTATTTTTTGGACTATAAGATGCACTTCCACCCCCCAAATTTGGGGGGAATAATGGTTGTTAATGCTGTTGTTGAGTTCTGTTTACATTTACATTGGTGAAATATTATGTTATTTATGTTATTAAATATTTTACCATATTTTTTGCTTCAAAAAATTTCCCCCTATTTTCCTCCTCTAAAACCTAGGTGCATCTTATGGTCTGAAAAATACAGTATATCTTGCTTGCTTGTTCATTTTGTTGATTAGGTTCCTGTTAAATGTGAGATCATATGGTACTTGTCTTTCACTGCCTGGCTTATTTCACTTAGTGCAATGCTCTCCAGTTCCATCCATGCTGTAGGAGCTCCTTCTTTCTTTCTGCTGCATAGAACTCCATTGTGTAAATGTACCATAGTTTTTTGATCCACTCATTTACTGATGGGCACCTAGGTTGCTTCCAGCACTTGGCTATTGTGAATTATGTTGCTATAAACACTGGGGTGCATAGGTTCTTTTGGATTGGTGTTTCAGGGTTCTTAGGATATAATCCTAGCAGTGGAATTGCTGGGTCAAAAGGCAGGTCCATTTCTGAGAAAATTTTATACTGCTTTCCATAGTGGCTGCACCAGTCTGCAACCCCACCAACAGTGCTTGATCTTTTTCTTAAATAAGGGACTTCATATAATAATGGTTTGGTAATAGAAACATCCAGAGTTCTAGCCAAAATGGAGGCATAGGTAGATATGCTTCGCTTCCTTGCAAAGCCAAAAGAAGGATAACAATCAATTTAAAAACAAAAAACAACCACAACTACCAGAAAATCAAACTGTATTAAAGTCTGACAAACAAGGAGTTAAAAAAAACCCAAAACACTCATCCAGACTGGTAGGAGGGGTGGAGATGGGCAGCCAGGGAAGAGAGGACACATGGCAAGGCAGTGGCATGTGTGCTGAGACAAACAAATATGGCCCAAATGAAAGAACAGATCAAAATTCCAGAAAAAACCCACAATTTAGTGATGAAGAGATAGCTAACCTATCAGATGCAGAGTTCAAAACACTGGTAATGAGGATGCTCACAGAAATGATTGAGTATGGTCAGAAAATAAAGGAAGAAATGAAGGCTATACAAAGTGAAATAAAGAAAAATATACAGAAAACCAACAGTGAAGGGAAGGAAACCGAGACTCAAATTAATAGTTTGGAACTAAAAGAAGAAATAAACATTCAACTGAAACAGAATGAATAAACAAGAATTCAAAACAATGAGGAGAGGCTTAGGAGCCTCTGGGACAACTTTAACATTCCAACATATGAATCATAGGGGTGCCAGAAGGAGAAGGGGAAGGGCAAGAAATTGAAAACTTATTTGATAAAGTAATAAAGGAGAACTTCCCCAGTCTGGTGAAGGAAGTAGACATGAAAGTCCAGGGAGATCAAAGAGTCCAAAAGAAGTTGGACCCAAGGAGGAATACACCAAGACACAACATAATTGAATTACCCAAGATTAAAGATAGGAGAGAATCTTAAGAACAGCAAGAGAAAAGGAGAGAGTTACTTACAAAGGATTTCCCGTAAGACTGTCAGCTGATTTCTCAAAAGAAACCTTGCAGGCAAGAAGGGGCTGGAAAGAAGTATTCCAAGTCATGGAAGGCAAGGACCTACATTCAAGATTACTCTACCAGCAAAGCTATCATTTAGTAGGGAAGGGCAGATAAAGTGCTTCCCAGATAAGGTCAAGTTAAAGGAGTTCATTATCACCAAGCCCTTATTATATGAAATGTTAAAGGAACTTATTTAAGAAAAAGAAGTTAAAGAAACATGAGCAGTGAAAGGACAACAAACTCACAGTTATTAATAACCACACCTAAAATGAAAGCAAACT